ATATCAGCGCATCCCAACTGCGCAGATGGATACACATGATGTCAAACACTGGATTGATAGGTCCAGATTCGATTATTCACAGTTCCCCGTCAGGTAGATGGAACAGCAACTTCAATACACCATTTACTTTGAAAAGGACAGCTTCCGGTCAAATATTTTGGTGTGACTAGTTTTCAGCGTGTTTTCATGGAGGTGGAACAGCAATTCAAACACAGCAAAAATTTCCAAAAATACACCAAAACATTGAGAACAGCTTCCGGACAAATATTTTGTGTGACTAGTTTTCAGCGTGTTTTCATGTAGGTGCAACAAAACTTGAAGTACACCAAATACCTTGAGAATTCAAGCTTCAGAAATTCACCAAAAACATTGAGGCCAGCTTCCGGCCAAATATTGTGGTGTGATTAGTTCTTAGCGTGCTTTTGTTCTTTTCATTTCAATTATTTAAAACATATATTCATGATGATACAGTATCGATGCAAGGAATGAATATGAGTTTGTGTCTGCTTCCTCTGACAAAGACACGTGTATCTGCTCAGAGGTAAATATTTTCAGAAAATGTTTTGTCCCCGATATGTCTTCCCATTGACATATTTGGGGACACGGCTGGCTAGTAGTCCAAAACGCCGCTTTGAAGAGTATTCTAGTTCTACCACTCGTATCAGGAAAACAGGGATTAGAACCCGCATACATAGGTTTCTGGCGTGTGCAAGGGAAGAAACTGTGCATAGCGAAATGCGATGTCACAGACGGCTTGACCAAGGGTGTCAGCGAAAAGAGCTTGATGGCTGTCTGTTGTTAGGGATTGAATTTTGTCCTCAATCTTGCTTAAAAAACATCATCTCAAAGTGAGTGAGTGTCAGGATAATATGTAAGAAAGCCCAAAGTGATGACGGATTTGGGCATCTTACTTTGGTGAAACCACGAACATGAACATGATACTTATATACCAAGAAACGTATTTACGTCGAACCGAGAATCGATCAACAAAAATTGGTTCTTGCACGTCAAAGGGATGCAACTCTCCATCGCAAATTCTAACGTAAATACTGAAGAGTAAGTGAATTGGTGAGGTATATTGGTGAGCGGACGAGGAACCATGATGTCAGTTATGCTTTAATGCCCTTACTACCTTGAGTACTCATAATACTTAAAGATTAATACACTTCAGGGGCGGTGAGGTAGCCTAGTGGTAAAGACGTTCTCCCGGGTTCAAATTCCTACATGGGTACAACGTCAGAAGCCCATTCCTGGTGTTCCTACTGGAATATAGCTAAAGGGGAAGTAAATGGGTTCTCACTCACGCACCCAAATAAGGTGAGGTGAGGTGAGGTGAGGTGAGGTGAGGTGAAATTGGATTAACGTCGTGCTTGAGAATATTTCGCTCATATGACGACGTGAAGGCGTGTGTATGTGTATGTGCGGCTGTTTGTACTAGCCCAGACTGAAGCTGGTTTTATAGTGCTAGCTCACTGAGATACCATGCCGCAGTGAAGCATGAATACCCCACTCAAACACATTATACTGACTCCGAGCCGACCAATCCTTGTTGTACCCATTAATGCCGAGCGCCAGGCAGGGACCAACAAGTACCATATTTTAACGTCTTTTGGTATGACGCGATCGGGGATCGAACCCGCGACCTTCCGCTCTCCGGGCGGACGCTCTAACCACTACACCACGGAGGCGTTCCGAAAATAAGCGTCAAGACAGGTAGAACATCTTATGTTTCAGTATCTGTTCAGCTGCTGTAGTTATCAGGGCTCCAGATAATTTTTTCATGATCAGGAGTACGTACTCCTTATTTATTCAATAAAGGAGTACTAGAAAACCTTAAGAGTACATTTAGAGTACTGAATGGAAATTAATGGCGTATCAGTAATCTTGTGTTTCGTTTCATATATGCACCACAACATTGCCACTACAATAAAACAATACTGTTTCAGATAAATACGTCTGTAAATGATTTTAAGACCGTACACCATTGCTGTGGTGCGTATCTGCTACGCTTTCTAAACTATTTCCTACCGTATCTTGCATATTTTTTTATCCGTAAATACGCCGATACGACCCTTATCTGGAGCCCTGATAGTTACACTCTCTCGAAGAATTGAAATGCTTATTCCTGACGTGCCCTTGATCCCGGGGCAGGCCAGTATGCGTGGACAGATTTCCCAGAAATACAACGAGGACTTACCTAACCCAACGTCCGGCTTCACGCGGAAACCGAAGTAGAGAGCTTGCATACATTATTCTCGTTGCCGTGTGGAAGACTAGCGGACGCTGCTATGCAGATACTATCTATTGACATTGTAACATTTGAGCATTAATTCGTATAATTCATCTTGATTTGAAAATATGCATTTAATAATCAGGGAGGTAGATTGTGGGCGTAATACCGATTCAGGAATACACAGATTTGCAATTGATGATGTGAGAGGGAAACTTTTAGGCATGAACATCGACAGAGAAAGTTTTCCAATATGGCTGACAGGAACTTCCGGTATGAAGTTTTTGGTCAGACTCCCGCGCGGTGATGACTTAGCATAACATCACTGCCACAGGCTAATTTGCATATCAGAAGTGACTGACCTTATGCAAGTGTTTGGGTGCGCTCTTCATACTGTCTTACATTGTTCTATAGATATTCTTTTGTAACTGAGACAGGTTTACGGCAATACAAATTTATACATCAAAGTTACTGCATCGCTTGCTCTCCATAGAGCTCAGATGACGTGGAACCGCATAACCTATATAAACAAAGGATCGCTACTCAAATCGAAATAGTGTTATAAAAGAAGTGTAAATAGATGTGTATACTCGTCAAAAATAAAAGCGTCAAGAAATATATACAATATATTGAATGGAATGTGAAGTTGTACCCCCCTCTTGCCTGTGGCAAAGGTACTATGCTGGTCGCATGGAACTCTGCGGTAGGAGAAGAGTTTTTAGTCTGTCGCCCAGCCCTTCTGCAATGCGGGAACATGAAGTTAGAGACTCGATTATTTATCAACCACCGCCATATAGCTGGAATATTGCTGAGTGCGGCGTAAAACTAAACTCACGCACTCACTCTCCAAATGTGTTAATGAAATGCATGATAAGAGTTCAAATACCAAATACCGAATGCCCAATGGCGAGTGCCGAATGTGCAAAGGAAAAAACTGAATGCGAACAAAATGCAGATTCGGGATTCGAATCCCGAATATGAAAAAATAATTGAGATTCATCTTTCGAATCCCGAATGTGAAAAATATTCAGATTTGGGATTCAAATCCTGAAACCCGAATGTTGAGAAAACTGAGATCGAATCCCGAATATGGAAAAAATATTCAGATTCGGGATTCAAATCCCAAAACCCGAATGTTGAGAAAATTCAGATTTGAGGTTGAAATATCGGAAACTGTAGTTACCCAAGTATACAACGAGCACCTAGTATTTTAGAAGGGGGATGAAATATAAGAGTTCAAATACCGAATGCCGAGTGTCGAATGTGCAAAAATACCGAATCTGAAACAAATTCAGATTCGGGATTCGAATCCCGAATACGGAAAAAATATTCAGATTCGGGATTCGAATACCGAATGTGAAAAAAATATTCAGATTCGGGATTCGAATCCCCAATCCACCAATGCTAAAGCCCTAAATGAAGCGAGTCTAGATTTCTTCAGGTTCAGGAAACCTCCCATCTCACTGGGGCTCCTTTTCATTTTACAATGACTTGTTTGTTTCTATCACACACACACACACACACGTGCACACACGTATATATTCGGAGACTAGGCGTTAGTCTAAGTGTTGGCACGAAAGTGCACGATAATGGTATCTGTAGGCATTACTCTGTTACAGACAATAGTCAGTCCGTCCAAGCTCGATTTACTTATTTTAAATCGACAACTCTTGTATTCTGGAAAACTTTGACCATCATTAATTGCCTGACTATTGAGTTACGTCCAGGGAAAGCAGCGCGGTGTAAAAACTATTTTAATCAAATACACTGGGACAGCTAATTTGCTGCATCACAATCCCTCTTTAACTGACTCGGTTTCACCCATGGATTCGTTTTGGAAGATTTGTGGATGTCCGCCATATTGTAGGTCTGATCTGTGCTTCTCAATCGGGTGTTCTATAACTTCTTTCCTTTCATACAGCAACAGTTAATACTCATAGCTGGTGGTTATTGCATCACAAACATTGTTGATGTTCTTTAACGTACTTGAGAATGTATATAAATATGATGGCATGGCATCAGATGACAACTGTCAGTTACCCACAAACATATCACTTGCAGAGTTGTTTCCATTTACAGCCAAAGACTCTCTCTCTATATATATATATGCTCAAAAATGTTATATCTGGCACTAAGCCTCCAGTTGTTCGAACCAGTGTGTTATATTTACTGTTGAACTGTTACTGTTTATAGCAATGATGCATTTATATCGGATTTTCCACTTCGGCTTCATCCTGATGGCCTCTTTACTCAGTCAAGGCTGCAGGAAAACACTGGAAAATGCCACTTCGTTAGAGATTGGGCGCTCTCACGGATATCACGGTAAAATTTAGCTCCATGTCATATTGCAACACCGGCAGATAGTGAGTGAGAATTGATTTAGGCCGCTTTTAACAACGGGGGCGGGGGTAGAAGACAAATACGATTCTGGGACTTAGAAACAGACTGATATGTGCGAAGTCACTTTAAACCTATCATATGGAGAGTTTGACCTTTGTAACACCAAATGACCTGCTGGCGGGTCATTTAAGTAGCGCGTTATTTGAGCGGAGACCAGATATTGTAATTTTAAGCTTGCGATACTTAATCTACCAGATCTCTGAAATAACATCTGAAATAAAAGAAAACTAAAAAACAAACAACTTGTAACAATGTAAATATATGCGCAGACAATTTCTTTTTCATCAGTCTGAACCATATTGTCTACGACAATTCAGGTTTTAAACGTCCACGGTAAATTTGACTCAAAATTAATCTGTACAAACTGACATCGTTTTGCTCATTTTATTAAGTTGCAAAGTTTCTTCAAACCCGAGCGAGTTGGATTTTCACTAGTTTATGATGTTTTGCGGCATCACAGTGAAGGTACAAGGGTGTTTATAACTTTTGTCAAACTAATCTGGGCTTAAATTAAATCCCACGGATTACCGTTCATCAACTACAGGCCCGAATGAGGACCTTCTTAAACAAAATACTTGCAATACTAGATAACGGCATACAGAAATATTGACATGTCAAGCGGACCATTAATGCTGCACGATATGAATACAGTGACACTGTAAGTTATACTAGCTTAAAGGCTCTTCTGCTGTTGAAGATGGGTTGCTCATCTACCAGATATTCAAACTCTGAATGAGTGAGTATGGTTTTACGTCACTTTTGGCAATATTTCAGCAACAGCACGGCGGTGGACACCAGAACTGGGTTCACACATTGTACCCATGTGGGGTATCAAACCATTGTCCTGGCATGACGAGAAAACCACTAGGCTACCACAACCCCCCAACTCTGAAAGAAAGACATTCATCGTAAAATATTTACGTAAAATTCCTACAATTAACAAATTTATTCCTGCAGAGTTAGAGAACTGATATCAGACATGTCTATTGCCATACCATACACATGGAAATACAGAATCAGAGAGACGCAAACCTGGCATTATGTTCATCTATGACTTTGGCCCGGACGCCTTTCTCTGATTGAAACGGTTTGTCATTCCGCATGGCACAAACGAATATATAGACATTTCTGATACTAATTCAGATAATAGTCGTAGCTTCTTTTAAAATATAGTATTCATTCTGTATGAGAACCTCCGTACAATGAGCAAACCTGCGATTCGTGTGTTGGGACATATTCAAATCATCGCAGCAAGCAAATGAAGATTTTGCGTGTGACGTGATGAATTATGAATGAATGAGCTTCTTTACATGACTTCAGGTTTTATCCAGCCATATCACGACGGCCTTGGTACATTGTGTATTGAAAGCGAACCCGGATTTGGGGGAGCCGAGGACAAGTCTACCATCCTACCGTCGTTCAGCACAGAAATGTTGATTGATGTTCTTGAATGATTTCATGACTGTTCTATCGAGACGCATCCAGTCGATGGTGCCAAATATGCATCACCTCAAACGGTCTACTCGCCTTCCAGCCAGTGTTAGGTGTTTGCGTTTTTACCACTAGCTACCGACAGAGAAGATGAAACGCTATTACAGTGACATCGAAGACGTCTTGTATCACTGGATAATTTATAGTACAGATTGTTCCTGAGCGTCAGTGCAAAAGGAAGTCGTGGGCAATATTAAAACCATTGTTTGAAAGACATATCTTAGAATTTGACAGGTTGTCAATGGTGAGTACATTAATAAAGTTAAGCTTATCAGAAACGTACATAACTAATTTCAAAGGAGTACTTTACCATCAGTATCGTTGCCACATTCACTTGGTCGAGGAAATCATCAAGATGGTAGCATGTTAGGTGCAATATTAGTTAACACAAGATTACACGCCCCACTAGTCACAATTCTTCCATGAACGGGCACCTCTTCACCCAAAGAGGGCTTTTAAGATAGCTCTGATCACAATCCAAGAGGTAACTGCACAAGAGGTAAATTTGTGTCCCCTTTTGAGTTCTGTTCAGTCCCAGTTGGCAATGCACGAGGTTTCTGGAGAGACTCGGCAGAGGTATCGGACTTGTGTGAGGATAAATTGCTCCAGTCATGTGTTCTTAAAACGGGAGTTTGTTTTAAAAATGCAGCATCTCCGGTGTTAGGACATAGGTCTCGAAATTTCGATGATTACACAGCAAACGTGCACATATAAATTCGGAAAAGCAGTCTTTAGCCAGAAACACAGTGCGATGTTGCTTCTGAATACACATTGTCTATAATAACACTTTAAAATAACTCGCACATCGCTTACATATAGCAAATGCCTCTAGCTATCAATGAAAGTCCATGTTCGGGTGATTATGATGAACGAATCATTTTTTAAATTTAAACTTTACTTTAAAATGTTCGATATTCTATTATCTTTAGAATTAGAAATATAGGCTATACGTAAGTATGCACATTATTCTTTTCTAAAGCCGTACCACACATTTCGCAAATTTCTGTTCCTGGTGAGTTTTCGAAAGTGCACTTCTTGCATTCAGTGATGCTGTCGCCACATTTGGGGCCGTCAATTTCTGGACCTCTGCTTTTTCCGCAGACTTGGCAAATGGCTCTCTGGTTATGGTTCATCCCCGAACAAAAGTGACAGGGCCACTTTCCTGTATCAGGAACCCCAAGGTCATTCATTCGACGAGCCATTGAAGCCCCCACATCCCCACTGGAGGTATAGGTCTGAGGTCTGTAACCACCATCCCTCTGGATTATGTTGGGTTTTCGCGCCATTGTATCAATATTTAGATGGCCAGTGTTAGGGGTGACCCCTCTCGCTACGATAGGCTGTGATCGAGCTGCACTGTTGTAGGATGCTTGGGAACCGTACGATGCAGGGCCCACAGATGTAGCTACTGGTGACAGGCCGGGTCCTGACAGATGGTTACTTGGTGGGTAGATGACATGTGAAGACCCAGTCCGATAACCCGAAGACCCAGTCCGATAACCCGAAGATTCTCTCGCCAAAGTCCTGTCCTGAGAGACAACTGTTTGGGACCTGGGAGAAGAAATCCGTACTGGAGGATGCACAATATTGACCGCGGGTGGTTCTTCTTCAATGTCAATACCTTCGTCCGACTGTTCATCTCGAGCTTGAAACCTAACATTTTCCCTGGAATTCCGGATCACATCTCCTCTTGCTCCATCGTAATATTTTGTTCCATATTTGGTCTCCAGGCCTTCGCGAACAAACGCCCAGTCTTCAGAGCCACTCTGAGGGGCTGGTTGACGTTGAGGGGATCTGACTCAACCTCTGCATACGCCATTAAATGCTCATCTATTGTTCCTTCCACATATCCAGTATCGTCCACAAAATGATCATCCTCATCAATGAATGGCAGATTCCTGGGAACTCCTCCCGTTGCCCCCACAACAGTCTTGTTCCTGACACTACCGGGAGCCCCTGATACATATGCAGAGTCCGTTCTGCTTTCACCATAGCTGCTTCTCAAATCCTTCCTTTCTTCGTCTTCAATGTTCTTGACTGCAGGAAGTACTCCTGTGTCTCGCCACCTCACGACATCTGAAACATTAGCTCCTCCCTCCTTCATTTTCCTGTGAAACTCTGAAAGCATTTCACATTCCACTGTTGCTACCACGCACTCAAATGCTACAGTTATGATAAGCTGAAGGTCGGGTTCACCTTTCAACACGAGTGTGTTTGCAGTGTCTGGTTGAAATCCAACGAGGCATAAAATTGATTCAGGGTCTTCAAGATGGGACCTTATTTTCGACTGGAAGTACCCACAGTAGGTCTGAAACAAGAAACAGTATTAGTTGAATTTAATAACCGGTCGAGTGAATCTTGCCATGTTTCACCCACATTATGACTCTCTACGTGAGTGGGCACTTCATTTGGGACAAACGCCGCTTTGAATGTTATTTCAATCATTTCACGGTGTGTCAGTATGATGTTGGGTAACATTTTGATAGGGTGAGTGAATTTTTACGCCGCACTCAGCAATATTCCAGCTATATGGCGGCGGGCTGTAAATAATCGAGTTTGGACCAGATAATTCAGGGATCAAGAGTATGAACATCGATCTACTCAATTGGGATACGATGAAATGTGTCAACCCAGACAGCGAGCCTGACCACCCGATCCCGTTAGTCGCCTCGTACGGCAAGCATGGGTAACTGAAGATCAATTCTTACCCGGACCTTCACGGGTCACATTTTGATAGGAAATGATACCCGTGCACTTTGTATTTGTTTGTTGTTTAACGCCGCACTCAGCAATATTCCAACTTTATGGCGGCGGTATGCCACCCGCTCCCGTTAGTCGCTTCCTACGACATGTATGGGCTGCTGAAGACAATTCTAACCCTGATAGTCACGGGTATAGGTTGGTGCTGATAAACCTAGAAAACTAATAAAGGCGAATCTGGGTAGGACGACATATAATGAAGGATCTGGTATGTGACTGAACACTGGAGCGACAATGAGAACCTATTCCCGACCCGGAATCCGTGCTGGTATCGTTATTTGAGGTCAACTGCAAACCGCTACGCAATCTCACAACCCAAGAATGATGCACCACATATTTTTTTTAAATATTCCCTTAGAAAACCTAACAAGATCAACCACCATACATAACCGCCATGTAGCTGGAACATTGCTGAGTGCGGCGTACAACTAAACTCACTCACCCAATACATAAAAGTGACTCGACTCTAAATAATTATTTGCAGATTATCTGTAGAGAATTAGAACGCAGGAAGTAATGTAAACAGATACGTTATCGTGGATATTGAGTACTTATATTCAAACCCGGAAGTTGAACACGCACCGAGTAATCACAAAAGCCGTGGAATGTCAGGTAATGAAATGCCCTTTGTGTGATGTGTATCTGACTGTTGTCTGTGTCCCACAATTAGGACAAACCACTGTTCCAGTGGCCCGGACACAAAAATACTCGAACTTATTGCAGACTTAAAATATTTTGAGACGCGCTTTGAGTATTAACATATTCAGAATCACCACCACCATTATCATCACCACAATCAATACAATCTATTCAACACTGCACCAAAAAACATAACTGTACTTAAGACAATACTTAACAGAAGGAAATCAAATCAAATCAGTTTACGGTATTTCCACCATAAATATAATCCATTTCCGCATGGGAATTTCTTACAGTAATGCATTTAAACTTCCTAACCACTATTTCCTCAAACTGACAAAGTGAATGAGTTTGGTTTTACGCCGGTTTTAGCAATATTCCAGCAATATCACGGCGAACCCGGGTCTTCGACGTGACGAGGGAACGCTTTAACCACCAGCCTACCCCACCGCCCTCGAGGGGCATTGAGAAGTTGGTGTAATGAACAAGGGACACAGTTCTATGGACATACAGCTTCTTTATCACAATAGTGAGTGAGTGAGTTTAGTTTTACGCCGCACTCAGCAATATCCCAGCTATATGGCGGCGGTCTGTAAATAATCGAGTTTGGACCAGACAATCCAGTGATCAACAGCATGAGCATCGATCTGCGCAATTGGGAACCGATGACATGTGTCAACCAAGTCAGCGAAACTGACGACCCGATCCCGTTAGTCGCCTCTTACGACAAGCACAGTCGCCTTTTATGGCAAGCACATGGGTTGCTGAAGACCTATTCTACCCCGGATCTTCACGGGTCTTTATCACAATATATATGATGCTTAGTTCTAGATGTTAACAGCGTTATCAAACAAGCACGGAAGAGGCTGGTGAAACAGGTTCTATAAAGTAAATTTGGTCACGAAATAAAAGCTCCACGTGTTTCAGCAAGTTCCTGAGTGAGTATCTGAACACAAACACATGAATCTATTATCTAATCGTAGGAGGGCAGTGGGGTTGCCTAGTGGTTAAAGCGTTCGCTCGTCACACCAAGTACCCGGGTTTTGAGGTACAATGAGTGCAGCCCATGTCTGGTGTCCTACGATATTGCTGGAATATCGCTAAAACGGCGTAAAAACATACCCACTCACACCGCGTAGAAATGAACACGTTCTCAGGTGCCTTGCTTTATTGCTTCAGGCACCTTGGACACGATTTAATGTCAGTCTTTGATACCAATATATCTCAGCTTATGGAGCATTTAGCTGAACCATAATAAGCTGCACATGATGTACCAATCGGGTGATTCGAACCTATAGTCTGTTTGCAGTGAAAACGTACCGATGAATTTCACTTTAAACAAAAAAGTAAATCAAATTAAGTTAAATTAAGATTGCGAATCCTCATAATTTTACCTTGCCAATTGAACATTTAAATCTCAGAATTTTATTCAACTTAGGATAAAGTTGTTTAACAAACGATCATAGTTTCAAATCGCTATTGTTGGTTTGTATTACAAGGGGGTATGCACATTAAAAGAAACCCCGAGAACAAGAAGGGTTCGTTTCTACGGTAGTCTAAGTTAACGCTCATCACGTACCGCACGTACATTTGTTTCACTGTTCCAACTACTGCGCGTACCCCCTTGTAATACAAAGCAATAATAGCGATTTCAAACTATGATCGTTTGTTAAACAACTTTTATCCTAAGTTGAATAAAATTCTGAGATTTAAATGTTCAATTGGCAAGGTATGGTCATGCCTTGATTGATGGTTACGTGATTTCCGGTCTGTCTGATCCAGATTCGATATTTTACTGACCTGACACAGCTGGAATATAGCTTTTTGCGTCGTTAAACAACAACAAACAAACACTGACCACGTTCCATGAATTAGACTTGAACAATGCCGCAATTACGATTATCATATTATCGGGAAACTGGAATAATATTTTTCACATTCCTAAATATCAAACTTCAGCTGATTCGTTAAAACGTAATAAGAAGTGAGTGAGTTCAGTCTTACGCCGCACTCAGCAATATTCCAGCTATATGGCGGCGGTCTGTACATAACCGAGTCTGGACCAGACAATCCAGTGATCAACAGCATGAGCATCGATCTGCGCAATTGGGAACCGATGACATGTGTCAACCAATTCTAAAACGTAATAAGAAACAAGCCATACAATATTTATGCAAAAATTGTATAAAGCCTGTAGTGTTAGGTTCTCGTATATCGAACAATTAACACACTTCCTGGTGTGTGGTATCCATTGAGTGGCTGTGCATATTTAGGGAAATTCCCTTGAAGGTCACACTGGCCTACTCGAAGTAATCGCTATGATTGACAGGTTTATTTATGGTGCATTCATATGAATCTGATCTTTGTAATTCCGGGTCATAACGGGTGATCTGGGCTTGTTCGGTTACGGTTCATTCATTCATTGATAATAATTCGAGTGAGTTTAGTTTCACGCCACACACCGCCATATTCCAGCTACAAGCGGCGGTCTGATAATAATCGAGTCAGGACCAGACAATCCAGTGATCAACATCATGCGCATCGATCTAAACAATTGTAATACGATGACATTTGTCAACCAAGTCAGCGAGTCTGACCACCTGATCCCGTTAGTCGAATCTTACGACAAGCATGGGTTGCTGAAGATCAATTCTAACCCGGATCTTTAAGGTGACCAGGATCCATGACAAAGCTAATTGCGTCATCATAACCAGATGTTGCGGGTTGACTTGCAGTATCACCAACTGTTTTATTCCGGTTAAATAAAGTCAGTCATACAAGAGCTGTAATTTGGATGAAAATGCCGAAGTAAACTAACCAACAATCAAAGCATTTGATCACTTTTATACGAGTGGGTGATTATAGTTTTACGCAGCTTTTAGCAACATTCCTGAAATATCACAGCGGGGGACACCAGAATGCTCTTCACACGTTGTATTGTGGGGAATCGAACCCGACGCCTTAAACGACAGAAATGTGTAAGAATAACACACAGTGCCCAGGTGTACTATGTCTGTGCTTCGTAGCGTTTCAGATTATTCATGACCATTATGTAACTGAGGGCTTAACTGTTTTGAGTAGAAACACACTCAAGTCATGGCACGTGAGAAAAGTGTCGCAATAAGAGGCCAATAACTGCATTACCTCAGCAGAAGAAATGTTTGTCTACAAAACGCACGGAAACACGAGCCGTCTGTACTGACGGCAAGGCACTTTAATTGCATAATGGCTGATAAGGCACCATGCAGGGTCATAGTATATGATTGGTACTATCAGCTACGTCAACAACTATTACGTCTGGGAAAAAACAACCCTATGCGCTTAGTAGCCTTGGTGAACCCTTTTGTGAAGAGACGGGGTTTCAGCTCACCAAGGTTAATTTGGGGGGACAGCGGATCCTGGCATGTTGAAAGGAAACAACTCTTCAGAGTTTCTACCGCCACTGAAATCCATTCTGACCTCAAAGCAATATAGCTTGTTGCGAATGTATGCATGCTCTACTGATGTTACCCCTGGCTGCTCGAATACAGGAAGTTATTCATATTGCAAAACCAGCCCTCGTATAACATTTAAATGTAAGGCTTCTATTATGCCAGACATGTGAGGTTCATATGTCAGGACGTGGATTAGAATGCGGATTAGACTTAATGCGTATTAGCAAACTTTGCATTGGTGTATAATGTATGGTGGGACCTGATTCAGTTGTTGTTACTCTATATACATTTTTGTTTGTTTGTTTGTTTGATGATTGACGCCGCAATATTCCAGATATATACTACAAACAAAAACTTTGAGTATGGGAACGCCCGAAAATTTGATAGTCATATGTAAAGTTAAACGTGGTGAGATCATTTATACTCTAAGGTAAATGCAACGTTTTGTGTTCTTAATGGGCACTTTAAACGTACAAATGACCTCACCACGTTTAAGTTTATATATGACTATGAAATTTTAAGGTGTTTCCATACTTTTTGTTTGTAGTATCTGAGAGCGGTGTGTAAAATATTCGACTATGGATCAGACGATCCAGTGATAAGCAGCATGAGCATCGATCTACGCAGTTGGGATACGATGACGTGTGTCAACTAAGTCAGCGAATCTATCACCCGATCCTGTCATTCGACTCCTAGATAAGCATGGGTTGCTGAAGACCAATTCTAACCCGGATCGTCGTATGTGTCTAAGGGGAGAAAAGCTAGTGGTATTTTGTAGGCAAAGGAACGAATATGTAACTATACCAATTCCGTCTTCCAACACGCACACACGCGATACAACAATTATACTATTTACGTCTTCTCACACGTAAATACGGGATGAACCATCAAATGACGTGTTTTCTCACCCAAACGCGCAATACACCAACAATTACACAAATGACGGTGTTGTTTTTCAAACCAACATACGCAGTATACCATCAAGGACAATAGCTAGGTTGCCAACGCTGAAAGTACACAGTCTCTCTGGCATACCTATATAATTGCTGGCATATACATGTCACAATAATATGTTTGACAAGTGTTGGATCACAGCAAGTAAATCCCATCTAGCAACAACTTTATGTTACAGGGGCGGTGGGGTAGCCTAGTGGTTAAATCGTTCCCTCCTCACGCTGAAGACCCGGGTTCGAATCAGCACGTGTACAATGTGTGAAGCCCATTTCTGGTGTCCCCGCCGTGATATTGCTGGAATATTGCTAAAAGCGGCGTAAAACTAAACTCGCTCACTCACTTCATGCTACGGTCAGTGTATGTGCCACGTTCCAGCCAGAATTCAGTCATTCAGTTCCTGGGTCCAAATGTCCGTAAGTGACGAGTGCCCTATCTGGGACTCTCCATTACGTGTCCTCTGGACATCCAGATATAGATGACTTCTCACTGCCATGAATCACACATAGTTCCTTGAACAAATCTGGCTCTCTGCCAGACTATCTGCTGTGTCATTTACCTTTTAGGTCTCTAAATTTGTTTCTTTGTGTATTGATAGACGCCGCACTTGGCAATATTTCAGCTATATGGCAGCGGTCTGTAAATAATCGAGTCTGGACCAGAAAATCCAGTGGTCAACAGCATGAGCATCGATCTAAGCAACTGAGATACGGTGACATGTGTCAACCAAGTCAGCGAGTCCCGTTAGTCGCTTCTTACAAGCATGGATTACTGAAGACCAATTCTAACCCAGCCGTGCACATTGTTAAGTTCCATGCTGCCACACTTTAAATTTGTAAACGATAGGACATATTATTGTGACCATCAAAAAACCATTAGTATGCCATTGATTTTGCATAAACACTGGTTGTTTATCGTGGTATTTTTCACCTTACGATCCCAACTTTCAATCATGAATTATTTGCTTTTTTTCTTGCAAAATGATGTCACTGATAATCCTATGTTTTCAACCAGGAAGTGTATATATACCACACACAACACATACCACAGTCGCCATATACATGTACTGCAATATGTATTGATAAAGGTGAATGCGCTGTCACCTATAAATCACTCGATGTACCTCCTTCAGATCATGTGGAACAGGCTTTCTTGGTGTAAAACACATTATTGAATTTTTTTATGATGATATGATAAGTATTCCCATGTTTTCAACCAGGAAGTGTATATATACCACACACAACACATACCACAGTCGCCATATACTGCAACATGTATTGATAAGGTAAATGCGCAGTCACCTATAAATCACTTGATTTACCTCCTTCAGATCATGTGGAACAGGCTATCTTGGTGTAAAACACATTATTGATTTTTTTTATGATATCAGAAGTATTCCTTTAAGGTGAAACATTTTACCTACATGTAAATCTTAAGTATTATGTTTCTGCACCTTAAATAATACAAGTAATTTTTTGACCCGTAATGTATATGTACTTCTTGGCAATTCAGATCAAATAAACTGGAGAAACCCTTCATCATTACAATCTAATTGATTTTTTTAAAAGCATGACAAAGGTCAAGCAAACAAACCTTTGCAGAGACTCAGGTTTCCCAAACTTTAGCAATATTTCACCTGTATCAGGGTGGGAACACAAGTAACAAGCTTCTCAAAATGTCTTCATGAGGAGAATCAAACCTGGGTCCGATCCACAAAGCATTCGTAGGGCTTTGACATTCATAAGAATATGGTAAACTACAGAGTTACAACAGGTCGTAACTTTCCGAACGCTTTGTGGATCGGAACCCTTGATAAAAGTTAACTTTTTAATCCACAGCATCCCTAAAACATGGTTCAAAAGCAATTTTAATTCTTGTATCTATTTCCTATTCAAAGACCCTATTGCCTATCCAAAAGCCTCTATTTCCTATCCAATTGTATCTATTTCCTATCCAAAGGCCTTACTTTCTGTCCAAAGGCATTTGTTTCCTATACAAAGTCTACAATTCCCATCCAAAAGTTTCTTTTTCTACACCAAAGACCATACTGCGAATTCAAAGTCAATATGTCCTACACAAACATTCCTATTTCCTGTACAAAGGCCTCTTTTTCCTTCCAAAAGACCTCCACTTCCTATCAAAGGCTATCTCCAAATCATGTGAGCCAATATGGACATAAATCATCAACAAAAATACTTTCATCAGAACTCACCTTCAGTTTCCTAAATTCACGTTTCCATGGCATCTTGTATAACAGAATAAAATATTTTTCAAGATTTTGGAAGGCCTCTGCTGCTTTGTCGGGAATCAACTTCCCTCTCTCTGTAGTTTTTTCTATGACAGCCCAAAACTCCTGGTATTGGAACCGATACTGCCTTTCGATCCGCGATAGGGAATCTCGAACGAGCTTTTTAACAGACTTTGACACCTGCCCCATGGCTTGAGACCCCAGCACTGTTTCAGTTTTTAAGGACTTTATGTAGAGCCGTCTGGCTTGATCCTTTTCTTCCATGACTCAATCCGGCCTATTTCAAATCCATACAAAACTGACCGTGTTCATTGATTTGAGGTTCCTCCTTCTGGTGTCAGTTGGGTTGTCCATGCTTTGTCTGAAACAGTCAAGACAAATCAGTGAATGAGGGATCTGCATAAATATAACTGCACGACCAACAATATTTGAATCATGATGATTAAGTGGTGGAGCTCACATGAAGGACAAGCCATTGTTCTGTCGAAATAATATAGCTTAGTAGTTCATAGGGGTGAAACCGTAAATTGCGGTATTAGAAGAACCGCGGTAATTTGCCTTCTGTTCAGTATAAGTATATCGTAATGCCAATGTATAAACTAGTTTTGAAATATGGCCTGTCCAAGGACTGTCTGCCCTAAAAAGTCACCAGTCCTGAACAAACACAGCCAGTCCCAAAAACTAAAGCAATGAAAAATAATAGATAAGCTGAAGTTCAAACCAAGATAAATATATTTTTTTCAAATATTTCCCCCGACCAAAGGATGGCCTTATTTATTAGACTGTCCTTCCAAAAAATAGACTGTCAAGGATTATGTATGTTTTATACACTGGTAAGGCCAGACCAATTATATTTCTTGTTTTACGGATCCTCCGGTCGTATTTTTTCAAGAGTAAGAAAAAAAAAACCACTTAAATTTCCCTGCTCAAAAAATAAAATCCTAATGTATTTATTGGCCAAAAGTGTAAAATTACAAAAGAATTTGGGTGTATTGGGTGTGTGTGTTTTCGCCCCATATACACTGTTTGCATTGCATCTCTGAACTCATCAAGACCAGCACCACCAATGAAGTCTAAAGACCTAGACTTCACATAATGAAGTCAATTCATGGGACAATGCTAAGCTGATGACTACATGAAGTGAGTGAGTGAGTGAGTTTAGTTTTACGCCGCACTCAGCAATATTCCAGCTATATGGCGGCGGTCTGTAAATAATCGAGTTTGGACCAGACAATCAAATGATCAACAGCATGAGCATCGATCTGCGCAATTGGGAACCGATGACATGTGCCAACCAAGTCAGCGAGCCTGACGACCCGATCCTGTTAGTCAGCCTCTTACGACAAGCATAGTCGCCTTTTGTGGCAAGCATGGGTTGCTGAAGACCTATTCTACCCCGGATCTTCACGGGTAGATGACCACATGGACCAATCAATGGCTGTTTGATAGCACAAACCTCCTCATCAGCATTCAAGTTCATCAGTATCAACAGCAGTGTCCACAGGAGACACTAGACCTCTGTCACAAATATATCACACATACATTGCTTATTTTGGTGAGATACAGTTATCATATGTTATCATGACATTAAATAGTTCAGGTGCTTTGTGATAACATCTGTGTTAGAAATAACAGGGGGGTCTTCTGAGAGATACTTGTTATCAGTTCAAGTTCCTGTTTTGGTGAATTGTAACATGGTCCGTTTTAGAAATCGTTGAAGTGGAATGAGTTGAAGTGGAATTTTGTGATGAAGATTAGTGCACTTACAAAGTGAGTGAGTGAGTGAGTTTAGTTTTACGCCGATCTAACCATCCAACTTCCACTCTCTATGCAGACACTTTGCTCCAGATCATGGAAGCTATGTCTTAGAAATCGGCATGTGGTCTGTGAGCTTTTTGGTTTGAGTATCTAATCTGTGGACCCCTTAAATCTTTCCATTCTAATGAGGTTCATGTCAAGACCATATTTCCTTTCATTTCCCAATTCTAAACTTTCATTTCCCAATTCTAAACTTTCATTCGTACTAAGGTTCATGAGAGAAAGCTGTTTCATTTCCCAATTCTAAACTTGCTTTCACTTTCACTTTTACACGAATATGAATCAGAGTTAAAAATAGTGATGATCTTCTCTGTTTGAAATAAATGTAGATTCCTAGTCTGTGGGTCTGGGCAATCTTAATTTTGACTCCTATGCAGACAACTAGGTAAAACTCACTAAAAGTTTTATAATCTTTATTGCAGAAATACAGGTGTCTACTTTTCCATTTGGTTTGTTTGAGCTAATTACACCTGCAAGTGCTACACCTGAGGACAAGCAGAGACACACATGGAAAAAAGACACAGAAAAGATAAAACAAAATCATAAATATAAAATACGGAATTTAAGAGTTTTTCAGCAAATAGGTGAGTTTAGTTTGAAACCCTTGAACAATACTTCAGTCACAACAGAACAGTTATCACAGTGATTCATTTTAAGATATCTTCAGCTTGACAAAGATCTAAGATCCCAGGATATTAGAGCATACTTGGTAGGTAAAAAAAAACTGATAGATTCAAATCCACATTGAACATATCCTGGCATGGGTAAGGGCCACAACTCTGCATGTTGGGTCCCATCTAGAAGATGCCAAAAGTCAAATAATAACCACTCAACACATAAATATTAGTCATTGCCAGTTAATTCACAAACAGGGAAGGTGGATTAGCCTGGTGGTTAAAGTATTTGCTCGCCATGCGATAGACCCTTGTTCCATTTCCCATATGGGTACAATTTTTAAAGCTGATTTCCAATGTTCCCTGCCCAGATATTGCCGAAATATTTGCTGAAAGTGGAAAAAAACATACTCACTCATGAATATCAAGATCTTATTTTGTGTTTTGTTCAGTCAATATCAACAAAACATAAGGGCCTCTCTTTAAGGGGGGCCAGAATCAAATCTTGCAATAAGAGACAATTAGACTCCATACATCCAATGTTAACCGACAGTATGTATGACCCCTTAACCTTGAGACAGAAACCATTGCTCTTGCTATCAACCCTGATTGTTCGTGCTATCAACCCTGATTATCCTGGCCAACACCAGACCCACACCACCATCATTAACCTCTGCCATGGCTTACTGCTGCATGAAAGGTTGGATACTCTGCCACCACACAGAAATGTTTTGGTCTCTGGTCAAAGTAACCTTGCAGTGTATGCACCAAGTAATGCAGAGCCTGCACCGGTGCAATGCATATCTGTGTGCATGTAAACACTCTCTCTCCAACATAAGTCGTAGATCAATGGAGAAACTGTCCTTCATGACCTTCCGTGAAGGTTGACAGGTTTACGATGCTGACGACAGCTGTGAACTTAAGGTGATCAGGACATGCCTCCTTGTTACACAATAAAGGCCAAGGGATAGGCACAAGGTGAGTCTAGGGCACAGTTTATTTTGGTCCACTGGTTTATGTAATGAAAACATGAGGCTAACATTTTGTCTCTGAATTGGAAACTGATTAAGAATTTGTTTGTCATACAGTATTTAATATAAAATAGAAATATAATCTCATTTTCACAAAATGAAGACATCTAGACTTATCAAAGAGCAGCAGACATGCTTGGGACTTTGTCATGATTTTGTTTCAAGGTCTGGATGAGAGACAACAAAAATAATAACTGTCTGCAACTTCAACCTCTAAGTAAATATATAGTTAATCTCCCATCAGCATTCTAAGCTCACATATCTTATCTAAGCTAACATATCTTATTGTAAAGCGATAAAGTAAATTAGCAAGTTTGGGGCAGTTCATGTAAAAGAATCTGGCACAAACAGGTAATGTAACCAGTAACCATGTTGTCCTTGCAGATTTTAGTTCTTTGGTACTAAAAGAGGAAGGACAGTGTCTAAATGTAAAATATTTCATTTGTGGACAAATGTGCAAAGTCCATCCTTGAATACTGTATGAATTACTAGTTTATCAAAACCCCACTGACCACCTTCGTACAGACTTGTATTGTCCAAGCATGGCTTAATTAAGTGTCAAGTGCAAGTTACATCTGTTCTGTCATGCAACTTGATGCTGGCTCCAAAGTTACAAAAAAGTTCAAACTGAAATGATACCACTGAAGACATGAAAGACTATTTTGACTAACAACAAAACAATTTAGACAAGGATTATGGTTGTGATCGTGTCAGATTCAGAAGTAGGCAAATGTACTTTGGATACAGTAGAAAAGCATTTTGATTATCATGATTATAGTAAAACATTATATTACCTACAGTAAAACAGTATTATGGTGACAAGAGAAAGTAAGTAATTTCATGGCAAATATAGGATTTGATGATAAAAGCAGATCCTGGCAATGCTAAGAGACATAACTATGTTTAGTTTATTTAGTAAATTGCAGATTGCTGATTCTAATCACCACCTCTACAGTTCGAAGGAATAGTAACATACATACCCTCCCCATATCATGCTGCTGGTCTCACAGCATTCCCAGACCAGGAAATAACTTATTGAAGTACGGGTTTCCCAGTAGTAGAAAGAGCATACACTAACATATTTATCACTTTGGCATCGCCCACAACTCACACGATTGGGTCTTTTCAGACTAGCATATCCTGCTTTGGCAACCACTTATAAATGAATAATTATGTCAATACTCTGTCACTCTGAATACATACAAGTAGAAAACCTGCTGTGTCAAGCAGTAGTACAGCCCAAAGCCAGCCCCACCCCTCAAGACACACAAATACACATCCTTATTCATAAATCATTCGGTTACTTCTTCTCTGGAAGCATCCTAACTCTGTAATTGAAGCCAACAGTACAAAGTGATTCAGTACAGTGAATAACTGTACTATTTCTATTCTGTGAATATTAATAACTATTTATAATACTCACAGATATTACGTAGGCAACATTACATGTCTAAAGGTCTATTTTTCGCTTTGAGCTGTGAACCTGTAGCAACGAGATGGTCTACAAGTTGTATCGATGCTTACTGTACGTGTATGTTTGTTAATGTCTGAGTAGGCAGTTCATGTGATACTGATAACATCTAGGCGTATGCAACGTATTAAACGATAGCACCAATCCCACATAATTCTTGAATATGACACAGCAGTATGGACTGTGGAACACCGAGGTCACTGCGTCCTAATCGAATGTCCGTTCTTTCGGAATATTTTGAAACCCAAACACCTTCTGATGATTTGATAAGTGGCAAACTGACACTAAGTTTCTGTAGGAATAACATTCACAGACAAAACACAGTATATATGAAGCTGGCGACGAAATAGTCTCACCTCGTATTCTGGAATGTTACAATGGCGTCGTGGCGGACGAAACCGGGGATTCCCCTAAAACCTGAATCATCAACGATAGCAAGTTCTGAAAGTCTGATACCAGTTATCTCCCTTGTTATCGGGTTCGTTTAAAACTGGCAGTACTAATGCGGATTGGGTCAAGGGAGCGTTTATTTCGGTCTATCGTTTTCACTCTGTCAAAGATTTCAACTGCCTTTGTCTTATTGGCTCGGGTGACACCGCTACAAACAGGCGTACATCAGACCGTATTACCCTCGAAAGAAGCATACAACTTATATTGTCGCTGCAACACATGGCCTCAATTATTTCATATCGCCAATTGCGAGGTTGATTTTTATATCAATCGTAAATTATATCAGGGACAATAAGATACATTCATTTCACGGTCTCTGACCACGTTATGGCAATTTGAGGAATGGCATTCAGGCAAATAATAAATTCAGTTGTGCGTTCAATTATTACTTTATACCGAGAAGCGACAACATTCAAACATTGCTTCTAATATTTCATGGGGACGGTGGGGTAGCCTAATGGTTAAAGCGTTGGCTCGTCACGCCGAAGACCCGGGTTCGATTCCCCACATGGGCACAATGTGTGAAGCCCATTTCTGGTGTCCCCCGCCGTGATGTTGCTGGAATATTGCTCAAAGCGACGTAAAACCAAACTCAGTCAGTCAGTCAGTCTAATATTTCAGCATGGCTAGTTTGTAGTCTGCTATCTTGTTCAATTATGAAATCAGGTATAGATGTGTAAAGTTTGCTTATTTTCTTGTTGGTTGTAGGAATATAACGCCGCACTCAGCAATATTCCTTTGGTCTATAAATACCGAGTCTGTCCAGTGATTGATAGCGTGAGCAACATGGAAGGGGAATATTGACAAGAGCCACATGAACTGACTCATTAAGTCGCCTCTTACGACGACCAATGGTTGCCGGGGGCTTCACTTCTATCCCACAGTCTCCACGGGGTTAAGGATTCGAACCTGGACTAGGCTCAAAAGTCGCTGTTATTTTCAGACAATGTACCAGAACAGATCTTGAGCATAATGAGTCAACCAGTGCTACCTCACCATGCTCAAAATAAATCGAAAAAGTTTTGACTGCACGCAGTATCAACCTCTTAATTGGTTGACGTTTCTTCTGAAATCTGGAACATGCCGTGTTCATCTTATATATAGGGACACCGGGAATATGTTTCACACAATGTACCCGTGTTTGGAATAGAACCCGGACCTACGGTGTTTACCACTTGGCTACTCCACCCCCCTACCCCCACCCTGGTGAGAATGCGCAGCCCTCGTGTACTTGAACTGAATTCTTATGCCATCGGCTATGATGTTATAAGATAACATGTGTGTGTATTAACGTATATCGAGAAAACTAAACGATGCCCCGCGTGATACCATATTTATGAAACGAGTGAATGACCCAGTTGGTATACGAAGCGACAGCGAGTTAGATACCAGTACCATTCACGAAATTCATAAATATGGTATTGCACGGGACACCGATTAGTAATTAATTTATTACTCACCCAACATTAACAAAATAATATCTCAGAATTCAACTACATGTAACAGAACGAGTGCATTACGCCGTCATAACAGGGGTCAGGCGTATGAATACATTTCATTTATGACTGTCAACATTAGCCTATTTAATTTGATTTGTTAACAATAAACAAAGAGTGCATTACGCCGTCATAACAGAGGTCACGCGTATGAATACATTTCAATTATGACTGTCATCATTAGCCTATTTAATTTGATTTGTTAACAATAAACAAAGTCTTTTTGTTATATAAAAATATGTCAAACCATATACTTTAAACATTACGACAAATGTTTCAGGATGTTACAATTTCACTTTAACTGTTATGTCCTTTTACCGAGAAAGACTAGACAGCCGCACTATCTAAGTCAGTTCATGAGCCTCAAACGACAGAGGACATCATGACTACGCATAAAGTTTAGATGTGGATGTTTTTCCTCAGGTGTAACCTCCAGAAAGTCATGTTGGTAGTATGACATGACAAACAAGGACTGGGTCACCGTGACCCGATCATGGTAGTTGCTCATGCCTTCACTCACTGGGTTGTCTTGTTTAGATTTAATTGTTTATAGCCTCAAGAAAAATAAAATTAAAATATCATGATAAAAATTTGTACTGTTCCTCTCCTTCAGACAAAGAAGGTGGTCCCTAAATTTGAATTCAACAAACCAATAGTTTTCAGTTAATTGGTTGAATAATACATCTCTCCGGGCAGACGGATGGCCAGACACATAATTCTTTGGTATAACTGTATAACACCTACCATTATAAATAAATAAATAATCCAACCAATAGTTTTGAAGGTATTGGGTGAACAAACATGTCTTCGGACTGACGGACGGGCGGATGGACAGATATACTCTTCATGAATGTCAACTAGTTATGACTATGTCAATGTGCGGTTTGATGTACCTAGGTAATGTTGATATAGAGTGGTACTGTTGTTTTATGTCATTAGGTTCTTGGATACCCCCAAAGTGGAAAGAGAGTACTGAAAGGTTTTAAACTTCTGCTCTCAGAAAAGATCACTACCACCAATTTTAGTCGAAGTCAAACTTGTTGCCATAGAAATGCAAAAATGGTTTTACTCAGAAATCCAAAACTATAACAAAAACCACAGTTCACCACCAGACTTTTTAAAGTTCTGCTCCATAAAAGAGCAGCAAGACCAATTTCAGTCGAAGTCAAACTTGTTGCCATGCATAGAAATGCAAATATGAAAAAACAGTTCACCACCAGACCTATCTATGTGCCAAGTTTGGTGAAAAAATAATAAATGGTTTTAAAGTTCTGCTCCGGAAAAGACGAATTTGCACGGGCGCACGGACGGACGGACGGAGTCCATTTAGATAACGCGTTGCGGGGTATAATATTTAAGATGCATATCTCATCAGAGTAGGTGTCCGGTTCATGTCGGAGGAAAACCCGAAGTGATGCAGGTATTTGACATTTACCACTTTTGGGGGAAACCACGAGCTCGGAATGGTGCTGACCAACCTTGAAACACAATAGGAGCGATCCGGGATCACATCGTGAGTGAGTGAGTGAGTTTGGTTTTATGCCGCTTTTAGCACAATTGCAGCAATATCACGGCGGGGAACACCAATAATGGGCTTCACACATCACCCATGTGGGGAATCGAACCCGGGTCTTCGGCGTGACGAGCGAACGCCTTAACCACTATAGGCTCCCCCATCGACGGACGTGACCATATGCCATACGTTATGACAAAGTGATCTTTATGACGTTAGCCTGTGACAAATATACATTTTATCGAGATAAATATAGCGTTCCATTTCCAAATACATAACAGTCTGCTTTTTTTCCTTACGTGTGTCATATGAAATTCTGCTGACAGATTCAGTTAACAATAACAATTCACGTGATGGTGTGGTAGATTTTATTTACTCTTCAGTCAGTTATGTTATCGTATTATAATGTACTTTCAAACTGGCGTCAAATCGCTGGGGGGGGGGGGGGTAGAGCTGAAGCTCGACGCTAAACTAAGTGAGTGAGTTTAGTTTTACGCCGCACTCAGCAATATTCCAGCTATATGGCGGCGGTCTGTAAATAATCGAGCCTGCACCAGACAATCCAGTGATCAACAGCATGAGCATCGATCTGCGCAATTGGGATACGATGACATGTGTCAACCAGGTCAGCGAGTCTGACCACCCGATCCTGTTAGTCGCCTCTTACAACATGGTTTACTGAAGATGAATATTTTAACCCGCACATTCACGGGTACGTTAAACTAAAAATGAATTTAGTTAAGAAATTCATTCACTAAGAATGACATTAAAGAAGATTATAGTAAGGTCTTTGTTGGTGTTCTTTTGCGCGTCATTAAAAGATTCCCTCACCCGCGCACACGCATATAAAAAGATCAGCTAAACAAATATCTTTTTTTTCATCATCTATATTTACTATAAAATGTATTCCAAAGTACAGAGTCGATCAACGATCAACGATCAACGATCAACGCCTTCAGTGAAAAACATCTTTTAGTGATTGTATCATGTTTCCGCCTGCCTCCTCTCTTGTCGATTGAGGGGCAGTGGGGTAGCATAGCGGTTAAAGCGTTCGCTCGTCACGCCGAAGACCTGGGTTCGATTCCCACATGGTTACAATATGTGAAGCCCATTTCTGATGTCCCCCTCCGTGACCTTTCTGGAATATTGCTGAAAGCGGCGTAAAACAATACTCACCCACTCACTCTCGTAAATTGAGTTTGGGTGTAACAAATAACAGATACGGATTGCCAACCCTCCTAAAAGCGATACAAGTCTAAGTTACAGTAATCGACATGTATAACACATCCGTTACATTTTTCACTGCAGTAGAGGGATGAGCAGGTGCTCCACACCCGTACGCTTCTGGATCTGCCTTGCAATGCACTGATAGATTACTTCAGCAACACTCCCGACTTGCCTTAAGAGTATGGAGGAGAGGTGTGATTACCCACGGCGCCATTCAAATCACTCACCACAGCGGAAAACACAAGGGATGGTCTATTGGACCCAGGTCCACGCCTCGAACAGCCAAAGCTTTGAAGAAGAACACCACATAAAGAGTTCTTAATATACTTCATCTTCCACTTGATATGTTGCTGCGATAAAAATACCCCAAAATACCGAATCGCATTCGCGACATTACGGAAACACTCGACAGTAATTAACATTTCCGGTAACGGGCACTGACGATGATGACGTTGCCTTTCTTGCAAAATATGATTCACGTCGTTCTACTTGCTTACAACTAAAGTTATATATACGACACAAGGTCGGTACGAATCATGGGCCCTGATAACATTACTTCATCGTAGTCTTCAGCTGATGACAATAACCTGGCATTTCAATATGGCTGACCTGTCGGCCATTAACAGTTCCGTAGCTGTAGTTATTGGTGAGTTCTAACATTGACCTTAGCTGCAATACCCCCGCCAAGAAGATAAATGCTAGCAGCCTAGAGACCAAATGCTCTGGTGGCAATTTTGAAAATCAGAAAGGGATCATTAGGATATATTTCCGCCGTACATTTCCAGGTCAAAATGGTTGGTTGGTTGGCTGGTTGTTGTTTAATGCCGCACTCAGCAGTATCCCAGCTATATGTCGGCGGTCTTTAAAGAATCGATTCTGGACCAGACAATCCAGTGATCAACAGCATGAGCATCAAACTACGCAACTGCCAACCAAGTCAGCGAGCCTGACCACGCAATCCCGTTAGTCGCCTCTTATGACACGTATGGATAGCTGAATACCAAGTCTAACCCGGAACCGATGAAAGAAGCCGTCGGCCCTGTCAGCCAAAACTATAGTTTGTGGGCCTTGAATACACACTTTGGAGATCCTGGTTAAAACTGGTCTTCACCAACATTTGACTTATTAACACAGCTGGAATCTTGCTGAGTACGGTGTTAAACAACCAACAAACAAACAAATCCGAACACGTGGAAAATTTTGGATGTGTTTTAGTGATTTACATTATAAAACCATCAACGCTATTGTATAGCATGTTTGTCGTCATCAAATATTTGAACTGACATTAATTATTACTAATAACATTTTCATTTTAATATATTTACATTCATTACATTGTTCAGATTTTGTATTGACATTCATATTTCATTATACCCAACAATTTAGGAACAAATATGAATAATATCTATATTTATTCACTTCTGTTCGAGCCTTACCTTGATTGACAGCAGAATACAGAGGATCGAATGTCTTTCAGCATCCCATTGTCCAGTATCACCGTATAGATGATGACAGTTGCAAAACGTAGGCGTTGTTTGACGTTGCTGAAACATGAAGTCATCATAATTAAAATGACAAACATTTGAGACAACAGTGGCCGACTCTCCAGCCGGAAACAGCATCAAATGATGTGTCAGGATGGAAAGTATTACATCAATTATACAACAATCTTCCAGTCACTTTTTAATAAATATTTATTTTTCAATTGATTTGAGATGAACAGTTATTTGGAAATCACACTCTGCCTAGTCACTACGTCACCACACTGGGTTTGGAAAGTCGGACCTTATTCGCTTTTGAAGAGAGCACTAAAATGAATCTGGTGCGTGACATCGAGGTCAAGGTCATCATTCAAGACTGCAAAGACCTTAACACCGAGTCTGGTGGAGTTTACACAGCTGATGTTGGTACCAGTGTTATCATACTTAACAGCCTTCATCAGTGTTTAGTTACTCTCACCTGAGAAGACACAAAGGTACAAAAACGTCCTGGGCCCTTATTCTGGAAACGTTCGTAGAGCTAAGAATTCTTAACTTTGATCGTAGATAATGTGTTAAGAATGGGCTTAAGAAGTTCGTAGGGCTACGAACGTTTCGAGAATAGCTAGCCTGGTTCTCCGCAGACCGCCTCATTTGGAGGATACTTCCCTAACTCTAGAAGTCGTTTAGAGTATGATGGCTGCAATACTTTGGACATTGCAATACTTTGGACCCCCGAATCTCAGAGGTATACAATAATATGAGGGCCAATGTACTGTCGAAGAATAATATACTGAGTCAAAAAAGAAACTTCACAAAATGTAATTTGAAAAATGATGAAGAATTTTTTCTCTAATGATACATCTATGTATCCGAAATGGGATCCCTATCTTTCGACTCTAGAAAAACGTTAGCAAAACCCACTCAAACCCATCCATTCGTCGTGCAAATGACGTTAGTGGCAAATCAGGTTTTGCACGTGCAGTCGATCACGTGATCTTCGCATCGAAGTTTTCTTCATATGCACGTGTTTGCATTGGCCTCAAGAATTGAAAAACACTTTTAAACCACAGTTCTAACGGTACTTGAATGCCACGATTGTCAAAAGTGCAACGTGAACGTGCCGTTGGCATGTTGCAAGCGGGAAGATCAGTTATTGACGTCGCAAGAGCAATGGGATGCAGCCGTCGTACTGTGTATGACTTGCGAGGTCGTCTACAACAAACTGGCACCACTTCTGATCGCCCAAGGTCGGGTCGTCCACGTGTGACGTCACGAGCAGAAGACCGTCAAATCGTCCTACGTCACCTACGTGACAGATTTCTGCCGGCTACACGAATCAGGGCTGAGATGTTTAGAGGTCGACTGTCCTCACAGACCATTCGAAATCGGTTGCGGGCTGCCAATCTCCATTCTCGACGTCCATATCGTGGGCCAATATTGACGCCGCTTCATCAACGTCAACGTCTGCTGTGGGCCCAACGTCACCTCCGATGGACCCAGAGAGACTGGAATCGAGTCGTCTTTAGCGATGAATCCAGGTTTACCCTCAGATTCGCGGACGGCAGGCATAGAGTCTGAAGACGACGTCGTGAACGGTATGCCCAATGTTGTGTAGAGGAAGTCGACAGATTCGGGGGCGGAAGTTGCATGGTGTGGGGTGCTTTCTGTGGGAACTACCGTTCCCGACTTCTGGTCATCCGTGGAAACCTCACAGCTGCTGCTTACCGCGACCAGGTGCTCACCCCTGAACTCGTTCCTTTCATGGCGGCACATGGCCCAGGTCTACAGTTCCAGCATGATAATGCTCGGCCGCATACCGCGATGTTGACACGAAATTCCTTCAAAACGCTGGAATCAACGTCATGGACTGGCCATCGAGGTCCCCTGACCTTAATCCAATAGAGCACGTTTGGGATGCACTTGGGAGAAGGCTTCGTGGTCTTAGGAACCAACCTCAGAATTTGCAGGAACTTGGCGCTGCCTTGCAAGAGCAATGGCGCAGAATCCCCAACCACCTGTTCACAAGCATCAGGCATTCGATGAGGAGACGGTGTTTGGCAGTGGTGAATGCGCGGGGCGGCCATACACGATATTGAACTGAGAAATTTCGCATTTTTATTCTTGTAACTTGATATTCTGTATACCCATGTTTTGGAACGGCGGTGTAGCCTAATGGAACTGAATATGGCACTGTCAGTGTATGGAGTACATCACACAGATCTCAGCAATGAAATAATAACAATTTAACCATCTTACCATCTCTTGTTCTTTTATAGTGCCCTGAAGAAAGAATGTGAAGTTTCTTTTTTGACTCAGTATACTTTAGACATGGGGCCATTTTATTGTCGAAAAGTAATACTCTGGATCCCGAATCTCAGAGGCATACAATAATGTGGGGGCTATTTTACCTATTTTCGAAACGTCTTTGTTCTTCTCAAAATATTACTGGTATAGGTGGGCATAACATCTCTAATACCAGTGCAGCAACATTTTGACAAATCTTTGACAAATAATATATTTAAAACATTCACAATAAGTAACATAAAGTTTCTGTTCTGGCACACTGAATTTCAATACAGGCTTTTACAGGCATAAATAGTTTGAGAACATTGAACATTTTACTTTGCAATTTTGACCCAGAAGGGAAATTTAAACGTCTTTCTATGGACGCAACTAAAAGACTTTTACAAACTAATGAAAAAACGCAATAAAACCACCTTCTGATTTACTTTAAAACTTGGTACACAATGGTAGAGTAAGAGTCAAGAATAGCATCTTCTTATTCAGAAGTTGATTCAGTATGTCGATCCATATTTGACTTTTAGTTCATATTTGACTTAAAGAAACTGCAGTGAACGGTTGTCAAGTAGCATTAAGTAAGCATATTCCCATACAATGAATAGGATCTGATGTTTATCAAATTGAGTTAATGAATGGATACCACTGTTAAATGAATGGATATCACCGTCTACTCGTCGGTTGACAAGACCAGTGGACAGATAGACAGATAGATAGATAATCGAGTCTGGACCAGACAATCCAGCATAATTATCAATCCACGCAATTTAGACATGTGTCAACCAAGTCAGCGAGCCTGACCAATGAATCCTGTGAGTCGCCTCTTACGACAAGCATTGGTTGCGGAAGACCAATTCCAACCCGAATCTTCACGGGTTACGGTGGTGAGGGACACAAGCCCTAGTGTGAAGCGGAAACAAACACTCGCACACGCATAGAGACAGGTACAGCCTACCTATTTCCAGTTTGACGCGGTGTGACCTCCAGATACCACCAACGCATGTGGAGATGAGTATATTGGCTACACTTGGCCGTTGAACAACTCTGAACGGAGATATTTCAAGACTTTGCGTCTTTTTAAGCTAAGTGTTCTTATTGTAGCCTTCCAAATGGGTATTCCTCTTTACTATTTTAAAATGCTGACATGCCAACATCCGCTCTCGCCTCACATTGCAATGTGAAGCATGTAATAATAGTAACATACAATTTAAGAAGAGGAAACGGCTACGTTTCTAACTTTTGTTCTATATCCTTATAAGGATAATTACAAATGCTATAACAATGTGCAGAAGAGAGATAAAGTAATGTCCTTCCTGTCTGTATAATTAACGTCATTGTAAGTTACTGTGGGTTTTCCCTTGCTAGTTTCTGAAGCCATCTTGAAATAGGCCATGAGGGCCTTCGGAAACGGCTTATAATTTATAGCTCCACAGCTACCTATGTTTGTCTCTCCTGGGGCTACCAGGTTACAAAAGGTCCCCAGCAACCTATGTTTGTCTCTCCGTGGGGCTACCAGGTTACAGTAGGTCCCCAGCAACCTATGTTTGTCTCTCCGTGGGGCTACCAGGTTACAGTAGGTCCCCAACAACCTATGTGTGTCTCTCCGTGGGGCTACCAGGTTACAGTAGGTCCCCAACAACCTATGTGAGTCTCTCCGTGGGGCTACCAGGTTACAGTAGGTCCCCAACAACCTATGTGTGTCTCTCCGTGGGGCTACCAGGTTACAGTAGGTCCCCAACAACCTATGTGTGTCTCTCCGTGGGGCTACCAAGTTACAGTATGTCCCCATCAACCTATGTTTGTCTCTCCGTGGGGCTACCAGGTTACAGTAGGTCCCCAAAAACCTATGTTTGTCTCTCCGTGGGGCTACCAGGTTACAGTAGGTCCCCAGCAACCTATGTTTGTCTCTCCGTGGGGCTACCAGGTTACAGTAGGTCCCCAACAACCTATGTTTGTCTCTCCGTGGGGCTACCAGGTTACAGTAGGTCCCCAGCAACCTATGTAGGTCCCCAACAACCTATGTTTGTCTCTCCGTGGGGCTACTAGGTTACAGTAGGTCCCCAGCAACCTATGTTTGTCTCTCCGTGGGGCTACCAGGTTACAGTATATGTCCCCAGCAACCTATGTTTGTCTCTCCTAGGGGCTACTAAGTTACAGTAGGTCCCAAGCAACCTATGTGTGTCTCTCCGTGGGGCTACCAGGTTACAGTAGGTCCCCAGCAACCTATGTTTGTCTCTCCGTGGGGCTACCAGGTTACAGTAGGTCCCCAAAACAACCTATGTGTGTCTCTCTCCGTGGGGGCTACCAGGTTACAGTAGGTCCCCAGCAACCTATGTTGTCTCTCCGTGGGGCTACCAGGTTACAGTAGGTCCCCAACAACCTATGTCTGTCTCTCCGTGGGGCTACCAGGTTACAGTAGGTCCCCAACAACCTATGTGTGTCTCTCCGTGGGGCTACCAGGTTACAGTATGTCCCCAGCAACCTATGTTTGTCTCTCCGTGGGGCTACCAGGTTACAGTAGGTCCCCAACAACCTATGTTTGTCTCTCCGTGGGGCTACCAGGTTACAGTATGTCCCCAGCAACCTATGTTTGTCTCTCCGTGGGGCTACCAGGTTACAGTAGGTCCCCAGCAACCTATGTTTGTCTCTCCGTGCGGCTACCAGGTTACAGTAGGTCCCCAACAACCTATGTCTGTCTGTCCGTGGGGCTACCAGGTTACAGTAGGTCCCCAACAACCTATGTGTGTCTCTCCGTGGGGCTACCA